GATGATTTGGATTTTTCACGGACGAGTCCGATGATTATTGGGCCCCGGCGCGCTTTTCTTTTCGAGCCTCGAGATAGGATGTTATTATGAAACGCGAGGAGATCCTCCGCGAGGTCGGTGATTGAATTGTTAGGTCTTCTTCTTGTTTTTATCCTGTTATTTCCTGGCTTTAAGCCAATACCTCTCGTCCCTGTAATTTTCTACGCTTTTTTCCCTCTCTATTGTTAATTCCCGATGTCCTTAATCGGCACGCTCGTCCCCCATTGTTCGACGCTGCTCGTTCATTTGGCTCGGTTAGATCCGGGTTGGGCCCGTCCGCGCCGGACCCAAGTTACACTGGTTGACGTGAAAATATTTTTTAAAACATGCTCTCTTAATGTGTTAGGTCAGGTCGTGTTAATTTCTCGTTGGACCCGTTCTTGTACTGACCCAAATTGGTCCTGTTTTGTTGGGCCCGTTTGGCTTAGGTTTGGGTCAGGTTTGGTCCAAACGTGATTCCCGTGACGATCGATTCAGCTGCGTTGCGTTGAGGCGAGAACAGGTTCTGATTATTTCAGCTTGAACTGGGCCCATTTTCCTGTTGGGCCCAAGTACCTCTTGAAATTGTTCCACTCGAGTAAGTGTCGTATCTGAATCTACGTCGGCTTGTGTGTGCTTCATTCTGGTCATGTTAATTTCTAAGTGTGTTGCCATATTGGGCCTTACTTATCTCTTATATTGATTCATGAGGCAATTCTGAATTAGACTCAAACTTTTTTCATTTAAATTGTCATTCATTCTTATTTTTAACACACATATTGTGCTCCTATAGCAATGTCTCTTCGATACTAAGTACTTTTCCATATTGAGCCTTACATTAATTTCTCGTATATTACTTTTTAAGCTGGCTCTTGGTGAGCTCAAACTGTCCTCATTTCAATTACGTTAATTTTCATGTTGCACCCACATATTGGGCCCACCATCTCTTACATCATCATATCTGAGCCACTTTTAGACTAACTCAAACAGAAACTCAAACAGGCACCCCAAATTTATAAAGATATACTCACCACATTAAAAAGATAACATTAAATCTTCCAACTCCCATAATTTCGTAATAAAAACTCCCACAGCAGTCTTCCTACATTCTTCATAAACCTGAAAGCTTCTGTTTTTCGCAAGCCGTTTCTTCCTACAATGTTATCCTCTTATGTAACGGGTAGGCAAAAAATACACGGTATCGTTTCCAACAGTTTTTCCCACTGGAAATGTTGAAACTCTCTGTGTACCAAGCGGTTGTTGACTGAACGAGCAACGTTTAGTCAGAGCGCATGGCTGGAAGTATTCACGAACGAGGGAACGATCACGCGTGACCTTGCTGAGACGTTGCACCGGCATAAACAGGCCGCAGCGCGTGCACTCGTAGGCGTATTTTATAAATCTGCTCTATTGGTACCCTTTAAACGGGCCCGGGGTCTCGTTAAGTCAACGTGACACGAGAGAGACGGGGTCGTAACGAACGCGCGCTGACAATCAGTGCTCGCGTTTAAAAATACAGGCTGAACGATAGTTTCTTGTCCTCAGCCGTTGGGTAGGGGCTGTGATTTAGCTTCCATTTTATCATAGTGAAACAGTGTTCAAAGTGCAAACTTGTAGATTTTTTGGTTTGATTCTGGAATGTTTGACAAAAGACTTTGGAAAATTGAAAAACTTTAGACAGTTGGAATTTTTCGGTTATGATTTGGAAATTGGAAGAAGGTTGTAGCTTAATATTGCTACGAAATATACAATTAATTTTCATATTTTTTAATTTTAAGTAATATTAATTTTTCAGTTTTTAGTTTTAAGTATATAGTAAATATGAAAGAACTATCTTCGAATTTATCTTGGAAATTGGAGATTTATAGAATTGAAATTTGGAAATTTGTAATACATTTTTCGTGGTTCTAATGAGTGAAAATTGAAACAGCGTTTGTAAGTGTAAGAGGCGACGGTTCGCGACGGATCAAAGAAATTGAATAAATTTTTATTGCAAACGAATTAACGGAGGATGTTGTGGAATTCTGGAAAAATTTCACAGCGAAACGTGACGTTCTTCGTAAGTTGTGAAGTTCTATCGAAGCCTTCGAAGAATTTTCAACATATTCTTCAGGATCTTCCCAACCTGGACGGTATTCAGGAGAGAGTAAACGTCTTGAGAATGTATGAAGCGGAGACATCCAGTCAAAACCCTCGGAATTTCCGATAACCATCGGAGATGGATATCTCGAGATTCGATAGGAATCGTAGGCTCACTCGTCAATTAACAAAACTAACTGAACCTTGAGAGTCTTAAGGAAACTTCCTCCACTTCTTAGCCATCGTTCACAGCTCACAATTTGTTCTTCAACAATCACAATACCCTCTTATCATATCTCCAAATTCCTCGTGTAGAAATCAACGCAATTCTTCCTAATGAAGCAACATCAATCTTCTTCAAACCCTCTCAAACATCTACTCCCAATACTCTACCATGTGAAACACTTCCACAGCAATGATCCCTAAATTCATCATCACCCACCACTGCCAAACAGAAAACTGATTTCTCTACTACAAATCCTCATCGTCAAACATCATAAAACACGTTCAAACTTCGACAAAACCTAAACACGCAGAATCTCAAACACTAACCCAACCACTCTGCCATCGGAAACAGCTTCATCTATAATACGCATCATCAATAACAGCGATCATCTATAAATAAGTTGCAGTACCAAACGTTTAGAATAGGAAGGACATAAAATACGTTGGGAACGAGTGGTAAGAAATCAAATTCTCGAAGTGGTCGCAGCGGGGATCGTTAGCCGAGGTACGAATTAATTCACGAACAAGGTGGCTCGTTACACGCTCGTGTTTCACCGGGACCCGGAGAAAACCACGGTGTCCCGGTGGACGACGCCGGGCGTCGGGGATGCGTGCGTGTGTACCGGCACTGCGTTCCGAACTCGCGGTAGGACGTAGAACATCCCGCTGGTATTGATCAAGGAGTGGTAGCGGGTGTTCTTGAACCCTGGTGCTCTTGCTCCCACTTTACGATGCTCGGCAAAGCACCGCGCTCCCGGCCATTACCTGTACAGTCGATCTTGCGTGTATAGCCTGCACACCTACAGGCCACAGGGACACTTGCTGCCGTTTAACCCCGAGCCCCTACGATTTCTTTTGCAATTACAGGGTTGCATGCAAGAACCAAGCGGCTCTAGTTCTTGTCAACATTAGGATTTTCTTGTGGGTTTAAGGAAAAAGTTGATGTATTAGTCTTGTTTAGGTATTTTAGAGCTTTAATGCTGTAGAAGTAAGGAAGTATAGTATGGAGGTTGTCTGACTCAATAGGTAGGGCTGTCCTAATCTGCTGATTTTTAATCTCTAATAATTTAGAGTAGGTTTGTATTTTAAATTCAGGTGTGCTTGGTTTTAAATTTAATAGAAGTAGGGAATTTTATATTAAGGAGGTTGTCTGACTCAATAGTTAGGGCTGTCCTATTCTACTGATTATTTTAACACTGCATTTAACTCAATAGTACTCAACAGTAACTATTAATCAAAGAGTCAAGTCTTCCAGATTCCCAAAATCAATAAAAATAAAGAATTCACAAACTTAAGTCTGACTCAATAGTTCGCTTTGCTCTATTCTACTGACTTTTTAAGTAACGTGCAATCAGTAGAATAGGATAGCTCTAACTGTTGAGTCAGACTGTCTTTCTATGTTTATAAATTCTTTACTTCTACTGACTCTGGGTTATGATACGACTGTAAATAAGTTATCGAGTTAATAAATTAATTATTCATAAGTTACAATTATAAATAAATCTTCTAAAATTATTAGAATTAAAAATAACTATTTTTACGTTATCATGACTGTAAAGGAAACATTCTTCACTATCTTACGACACTTTCCTATAATAAATCAATTTGTTAAATAAATTGAAAATTACTTAAAGATGGGGAAGAGAAAAATGAATCTGCATGCACCTTCAGTCGTATTGCTCCGGTGAGTCGGTTCTTCGCTCGCGTTAGTTCGTCCAGGACGGCGACCCGTGAATTATTGATGATGCGCCGAGGGACCTTCGCGATACATTAGGGTTGATAAGTCTGAAGATTTGTTGGCGTTTCACTGATCCATTAATCACTTCGAAAAGGAAACAATGAATCGGCGAACCGTCTGCGAAATGTCCGGGCAAGTACGAGAGGAACCCTTCTCTCATATTGTCGACGTAGTATGACCAAGTTCGTCCATTCTTTGTTAGTAGATTGCAAACAAGAAATTTCCATACACAATAAATCACATCGGATGTAAAAATTCATTTCGTCTCCTTTGGAATATTAGGTCATCCCATAAATTCTCTTTCCTCGCGAATTTTTTAATGGAAACCCGTACAACTTTCTTATGAATGGTATTAAAACATTAATTGAAAAATAGTAGAAGACCGATGATAATAGAAATATTAATTTTTTACAGTTGAAGTTAACACTTAGTAGTAAGTAAATATTAGTAGTAAGTAATATCGTTTTGTTTATACTAAGTTCTAACGTGAAAGATTAATAACTACATGTTTCCAATTGTTGAGTTTTTAATTTTTCATATCACTAATAAATAATATTGTTTTGTTTATATTACTTCTAACGTGAAATATTAATAACTACATTTTTTTAATTTTTTTAATTTTTAATTTTCCATTTTTCGATTAATTCTTTAATACTATTCTTGAAATGGCATTAAGAAAGATATGTAAGAAGGTGAGATAAGGAACGGCATAACTTATGGAATGATCCAACACTGAATTATCTGAGGGTTACAAGTAAAGAGTTTACCCGACGCGTTATCTGCCAAGAAGTGCAGCCGGTCCGCAGTGCAAATAGAAATTTCCTGGGGAATCCGTCAATTTTGAGAAAATTACAGCTATCGCGGAAGGGTTAATCTTATCTGCGGCTTATCTGTACTCTTCAGTCGAGATCCATTTATCTCGTGCTTCTAGTCGGGACTTATCGAAGACCATCGACAACTGTCGATCGAATCGATCTAATACGTTCATCGATCCCTAGCATGAATTGAACAGTTTTTCTAAATTGAAGAATTTTCATTTCGTAAGATTAATACTCTTAATCAATTCGTTTCTGACTGCAATCATGTACATTGATCTGATTGGTCAACTTATTTATAATTACAGATCATTCCAAGGTGTTGCTTCGATGATGGACCAATCTAGGAAGATGAAGACGAATCGAGTGGGTGAGTTTGATTGTGGTTTATTATTCTCGCTTGTGATCATTTCTCGAAATGTTTATATTAATTTATGCTAAATACATATTTAATACTAATTACTAGAAATGATGATAGTTTGTAATTATTAATAGTCATATATAATAATTTTTTAATAATCATGTTTATAATACTATTATTATTAATAAGAATTATTATTAGTGTTTTTATTATGTGATTCATAATTCAAATGTGAAAATTGCATAGCTCTCTGTGATCGAACAAGTTACACACCTACGAGATGAGAAGAAAATCAGCTCTAAGTAGAATGAGACATGCACACACAGACAGACGTCTCGTGCATCTAACCAATTGTCTATTTCTCTTACCATAATTCTACATTTTTTCTCAGTATCTTTCAGTCAACTTTCCAACAACAATAGCAATCATCATTATCATTATTATTATAATACAATAAGGAGAAAAATGATTATCAGTGTTATCCTACTTTTCCTCCCATCGTAGGAACACATTATTAGTTACATTACAGTTCACATCTCAATCAGTTAATACAAATAGAATTAATAAAAAAAAATAAAAATAAAAATTCGAACACTCATTATTAGTAACATTACAGTTCACGCCTCAATCAGTTCATACAAATAAAACTCCACCATACACGATGCCCACGAATTTCTTTGCCCAACAATTCAAAAATCGAACAGCCCCATAAGGGATAACTAGACAAGGGCGTAGGGCACTGGACGAACACATACGAGTCGTGTGTATGTCAGAGGACCAAAGGTGGATGCGCATTCCCCGAGCGTATTATAATTGCACTCGAGGCTGAGACTCGAATGCCATTAAACCAGTCACGATCGCTTGGCCTTGGACTGCAGTTGCACACATTGTCCCCTTTCCCCTCGTTCTTCTTTCACTCTCTCGCTCTTTCTCTCTCTCTCTCTCTCTCCCTCTCCCTCTCTCGCTCTCTCTCACTCTCTTTTTCACTGTTTCTCTTTTTCTCTCTCGTGGTAGCGCGAAGCTGCGTGGTTCTCTTCGCTTCTGCGTCTTTCTCTGCGTTGCCCTTAGACCATATACGCGTACCTACAATATATACATGGCTTCTATTATATATACAGTGGCGTTCAGAAATCCCCATGGTTTTTGGAACTTTTTCAAGATAATGAATGCTTTAACACATTACGTGCCTGCTAATTGTCGGAAAACTGAATTGTGATGGCAATTTTCACTGAGGTCAACTTTTATCACTATACATAGAGAAACTCAGATATTCTTATGTAATATATTTTAAATAGATAATCAATTCGAATTAAATTTTATATTCTTTTCAATGCTGTGGTAATTAGCGAAGTTGCGTAGTTAAGTGTCTTTATATAAAAACGAGATTTCTCGTTACCGGTACGCAATGTGTTAAGAAGTTTTTGTTGTTATGTATGAAAAGACATTGCATGAGAGGATGCAGTAAGATTAACAATTATTCTTTATATATGTTTGTTTTGAAATAAATAATTCAGTATGTTCAGAACTTCACAGGTGGTTTTTGGAAGTTTTCTTAGATAATAAAGGCTTCAAGATGTTTTGTTGTTATGATGTATGAAGAGACATTGCACGAGAGGACACAGTAAGAACAATTATTGTTTATAGTTTATTAATATTGATAGAAATAGTATCAAATTCATCCTATCGAAGAAACATTCTAGAAACGATCTGGTTGAAAACTTTTGAACGCCACTGTATATTGTTGTAGTACACACGTGGCTGAAGAATGATTATAGAAATTAAATTCATATTAGTGATTAGGGAATTACGATCGTTCCGAGAATGCAGTGCTGTTTTGGAACGGATATAGCACCCAGGAAACGACGGTTATAAAACTGATACGTAGCCTAACAGGAACCACAACTAAAAAGTTCTCGAATTTAATGTGAACTTATAATTATAAGTTTGGTATGTGGGTATATAATATAAATTTTCAATCTTTCGTAATAAATTCTGTTTTACAATTGTCTAAGTAATAGATTGAAAGGATTTGCTTTTTGAACTTTTACAAGCGACTGTCGCTTACACCATTAACCCATTGAACTACGACCTCTTACACAGTTACGACCACTATATTATCCTTGTTTATTCGCTATGAAATAGGAAAAACTTTACGTTTACTTCTTGTTTATGTTTAATTAAATCTAACCCGTTGCACTCTCAAATATTTCAACATTTCTGATGCGATGTACGTGAGACGTAAAGTACAAAATCGTCAAACAACTTATTTCCCGAAATATTTCACCGTTACCCTGAGCACCCTCAACCCTTCGTTCACCAGCATTTCCACCGGGACACCCTGTACATGATCTAAGGTGCGGCCTCGCCCCGGCACCCTTCAACGTCTCCTTTTCGGCGTGGCGCACAGTGCGACCGCCTGTGGACAAAACCCCGAAATTCGACTATTCACATAGCGAAAATCGAAGGTCACGAATGTGTTCCTATCGAAATGATTAACGATAAACTTGTCACGAAGAAATGGCGAGATTTCTCGTACTGACAACAAAGGGAACACAATGAACATTTTAAATTGAATTCGACAAATCCAAATGCCATTCATTCATTTATTTTCACAAATCAAATATTACTCTATTATCAACCTTTACCATTTTCAATAAACGCAGACACACAATAAGTATAACATTCTTTTCTCCAATTACTAACGATAAAGTTGTTTAAAATTTCGAATGTCGTTTGTCTTCGGTAGAAATAGTGTTAACCCTTTGCACTCGAGAGGTGACAACATTTGATTTGATATGGTACAATTATAAGGTTATATGTAATATTAACACTAGATTTACGTTTATTCTAAACTTTATTCTATTGTCTCTAGAAAACTAGGTGTTCGCCTATATATATATATTGCGAAAATTATAATTTCAAAACCAGACTATTGCAATGCGTATTCGCGTAACTGCACGAACCAAATTGACTTGAACTGATACTAAATAAATAATTAAAAAATGCAATATAAATTGACGGGTTCCGTAAATCTAGTGTTAAGCTTTGTATAATGCATCGATATGTGGAATATTCGAAACAGCTTTGTTTCTTGATTTGCGCATGTTTTCTCATTAGTCGGTTTCAAAGAACGTTTTACCGGAAAACGTTGGATGTTTCCCATAGAAAATGTCCGAGTGCAAAGGGTCACGTTATCGAGATTTCTCCAGAAAATGGCCGTTTTGCCTTACTGTGCGTCGCTCGTCGGGCCAGGCGATTATAAATAAGTCGCCGGCAGGCCCGTCGAAATCGAGGAAAGGAACCGAGACGCGTCGCGGACCGGTTTCCATGGGCGGAATTTCAAACGCTCCCGCGGCGCGGCGGTCCCTCGCGGGAAATATTCCTGCGGTCAACGGGTGTTGCGTAAAACGGTTCACCTTGCGGACGATTCTTATTTAACGCGGCCGGACGCCATCTTGACGGTCGCGGCCGACTCCTTTCGTCTTCGCGTTGCGACACGTCCGCTGCCCGGGGACTGAAGACTATGCGAAATGAAATTCGATCGCGTTTCAACCCTTTGCTCGTTGATTTTTCATTGATTCATGGTATAAGACAATCACTGGATGAACGAGGAATTCGATTGATCGATGAATTTTCATTTTTTCTTATTTAATTTTCATTTTATTCGTCGCGTTGCGACATGTACGCTACACGAGGACTGAAGATTATGTAAAATAGAATTTGATCGCGTTTCAACTCTCTGCTCGTTGATTTTTTTTTTATTCATTGT